TCCCAGGGTGTCCAGACGTTGGCCACCACACTTCCCTCTGTTAGTTGTAAGCATCTTAGAACTTAACTCATTTGTGTATTATTTACGAGCTTGTAATATCTCTGAATATGTGTTCCTAACTTGACACTATTCAAATTTGTAATCATATAAATACCGCACACATGTGTGATCCTTGCAAGAATGTGAAGTTGTGTTTGTAGTCTTAATCTTCATGAAATTCGTCACTTAATCAGTTTGAGATTTTAGCGAAAATGGCTTTTGTGCGATGTTCGATGTGGTGATTGTTGAAATATCTGTTTGTTGTTAGGCTAATAAATTAGTAATCTATTAACTCTCTTTTATAATTTACTGTAGGCCTTTTATAACAAGTGGAGCTTTCTTAAAGCATGATATTGCAGTAATATTTTGATATATTAATCATCGATTTCTTTGGGATAGGCAGTAGTCTGAATGAGTTTGTATTGATCGCTTTGGTTTTGATACTAAAAATCAAAATTAAAAGTCAGAAAAAGCCATTCCATTACAATGATGAAGTTATAACATAATCGAAACGATACAGGTTTCATTGAGCTTTTGAGTGTAAATAAGCAGTAGGAATCGATTGAGCTCGTCAAACTTGACTTAGAATCCGTGTTAGAATCACAGACAATAGTAGGGAGGCGAAACCACACATGTTTTTCTGTAATTTGAGTATCTTGTGGTTGTTCTCCACAGTCTTTCATGTTTTGAGAGATAAAGGGGATGTTTTGGAAGTACTTTTTAAGAATGGATAGAACTCATACAGTTCTACCGGGAATTAATATGAACTGAGTTGAAACGGATACCTAAATGAATTCGTTCAGAAAAAAACTTAGTCCTCCGCAGAGATATCTCATATCATTTATCAATGATAAATTATATGTGGAGAGTCAGGCATACAAAGTATTTACCAGCAAACGATGTGTTTAATGAAAACAATTTCGGATGAATAATCGGAACACGATATACAGTCGTAGATTTTGAACAGTTTCTAGCATTGAGTTAATATGTAACGTATATTATCGATAGTTCAAGTTTTGTTTCAAATGAAAACGCATCATCACCATGTATCCTTGAGTAAAAATAACACCCCCATCATATATATTCGTCGATATAATCTAACAAGGTAAAGTTTATCGAAGCATAACTACATAACGAACAAGAAACAGCACATGTATATGTTTATTTTCCTTCTTACATTATATAATGAACTAGGCAAAAAAGTACGTTACTATATAATGATCTGATTGGTCGTTCAATCTTTCCATTTACTTTTCTAAAAAGCATAATTCTTGGACCAAGGCTCCAACTATGATAGAATCAATCTCGAATATTATGGGATATTTGCTTATTTTTTTAAATTATTCTATGTAGATGTCGTTCATAGCAATCGATCATAATTTTTATTTTCATTTTATTTTCTCATTGACATATATAGTTTGAGTACAAACACTACCAAAGAAATGAACAAAAGGTGTGAAGATTTGGGAAACTGGTTTATAATATAAAAAGAAACCTACATAATTTTTGTTCTTATTTTTATGAAGTATAGCAATGTCGTTCTTTAATGTTTATTTTTGAAGTGATATTATACATTTGATATCAATTTATATTCCAATTCAAACTGGAGATCTCATAAAAGAAATAATGTATTTTACTTAAAAAGGTAGTTTGAGTATACTACGCGTTCCATCACCGATTTGTGTCTGACTGAGATGTGACTCTTTATTGAAGAATTATTTTTGAACTAGCAATCGACAAAATATATTTCCACTGGAAATCACAATATTAAAATGAATTAATTTTGTCTACAGTAAGATATCAAACACTTTGTTTTGTATCATGTCTATTAGACATCTTTTATATTCGCCATTGGATTTAAATACATTATTTATGCTAAATAGACCAAATCAAACAAAAATTCAAACTCTATACATCTCTCATTTTGAAATTAAAAAGAAATCTTTGAATCAAATATCAACCAACACAACATAATGGTAGGTCAATATCTTTCTTTTTAACGGGTGCACTAGGTAAAATGGGCCTCTCAGTATTTTTTTAACCACAATATTCCAATTTTCATTAAATTCATTTTCATTTGAGAGTTGAGAAAGATTTTGAACGAATTCTATTTCACAATTTGATCCGAACTGTGAAGATTTAATTGCTCGTTTTCGATTATATTCACCTTGAAGATTTAAATGTACGATGAAATATAAATGCATAATTAAGATATGGTGGTACTCGACTTGGTTTTAAAATAGTTTTTGTTGAACTAATAAAATAAGATCGAAGATCGTTTCTTGTTATTTGTTTATTTGAATTCGATAAATGTAAGATTTTCTCTACATCAATTTTACATTGATCATGATTTTTTTTATTATAAATTCACTATATATTGCTATTCTGTATTTATTAATACTATTTTCAATATAAAAGAATAGTTAAGTTGAATAAACTTACGGATAATCTATTATTTTTTAAATAGATTTGTTCATTTATTGATTGTTGATTAGATGATGATGGTGTGTCAATCATATTTAATATTTCTTCATAATTTGAAGATTGACATTGATTAGTATTCATAAAAATATCGTTAGGAAAATCTTCTAATGAAAATAATTCATTAAAATCAGTTTCATTATCAATTTGTGGAGATGTTATTGATTTATTAGAAATATCCATAAAAAATCTTCTGTAAATATTTCATTTATTTATTTGCATCAATCTTTCAAATCGAACTTACTCATTAACACTATCGAGAAATAATATATCTTCACCTAATTTCGAATCTTTATCTAAATAAATAAATAAATAAATTTTAAAAAATATTCTGAAATAAAAAAGAGAAAATACTTTCAATGTATTTTTGAATATTTTCATCATTATATAAATTCATATCAATTGAGTCATCTTTATTTGAATTTGAAGATAATTTACAATGGCATAAAGAAGAGTTTTTAGTAAATTGATTCAGATAAAATTTCATGTTGAGTAAAACTTAGTCGGAGAATTCCTGCTGATAAAATAAGAATTTCATGCGGATATTGAATAACTTTTTTATATTTTATATTAAATTTATTAAGTAATAATGGATCAATTAATATCTTATCATGTTCAATACATATTGATGGATTATTTTCTTTCTTCAGATGAAATTATATACCAATAATGAGCACCACCTTCATGATGATAATTTAATTGATAAAGATTTTGTTTATCTGAAGACAAAGGAAGTATAGCAGCAGATCCATGTGCTTTAATTAATGTTGAGGAACATTTATTACAAAATTTTTTTCCAGATAATTTTAAAAGTGATTTAAAAGATAATTGATGAAAATCAAATTGATGACGATAAACACGTTTTAAAAATAATGTTTGATCATTAATTATTGAAATACTTAAGATATTTTGTGTATTAGATCGATTTGGTAACAATAACCAAAATATTTCATCATCATCATCATTTATCAAATTATTTTCTTTTTTTTCTTTATTTTCATTAATTTTATTTGTTTTTATTGAATACATTAAATTTTCATTATCAACTTGTTTAACTTGGTGAATTGTTGAACGTAATGAAACATTTACTGGTGTTGTTTTTAATAGATTTTTAAAATTTGATGTTGGAATTAATTTAATTGCACCATTTTCTTTTAATATTTATTCATTTTGATAAAGATATTTTAATAAATCTTTCATTTCATTATCTTTTATTGATATCTTTGGAATATCATATGATTGTGTGCACATTCTTTTTTTTGAAAATCAATAGGAAAACAAGCCATCTTGAGGGTGTGGGTGTGGGTATGGGTGTGAAATGAATCGAATACGCTCACACCCACCCACACGCACACCCTCAATCCATTAGGAAGAGCAGTAAAGATAAATGAAGAAATAAAAGAGTAAATGACTGATATACACAACCTAGAATTTTTTTAAAATTCAAAGGCTTATTTTATTCAAACTTGCGGCAAAAACTTTCACTATTATCAAGAAGAAACTTACAATCAGACAACATGAGAACAATGACAAGTTTTTAACAATACAATGAAAATAAATAATATATAGCATAGACTATAGCGTACACTCTGGAATTGAGTGCACCTATTCATATTGTTAAACTTCATGCATTTTCATTTTCTTCATTGATCAATTCAAGTATTTTATCGCTTAGTTCTGATAAATTGTTTAACCTACAAACAAAAAATAGAAAAAAAAATATTATTAAAAAGTATTTTACTGATAAGTGTTTGACTCAACTGTTCTTACAAACGAGTTGATGTGTAGTATCAACTCTTTAGGTAAGTTTTTATTATGATTCTAAAAGTTGAAATAAAAATATCACTCAGACGTCAGAAAGATTTGCTCACATATATTTTGATTTTAATCTTGTTTCCCTCTTTGATAACAATTAATTCAATTATACAGTTTTTAGTATCGTAGTCAACACGATATTGGTGTTTAGAAACTTGAGCTGATTGAATAATATCTAACGGCATCTTTGAAATATAAGAAATTAAAAAATAATTTACGTACAGTTTCAAAAAAAGAAGTACTATTATTACCGAAACCTTAAATTCATACGCGATCAACGTATGTATGAAGAGAAACATATAGTCAAATTCGTGACGAATTTCACCAAGGTTACAGTCACGTATTTCTCTGAATAATAAATCCATAATGAATTTAACGATTAATGAAGAAAAACAAATGGAAATCAGTTAATCATAGAATATGTTACTAACACCATCTTTATTTTCGTTTTAAATCATAGCATTCTATGGCGAATATTGTTTTTTCGTTCTGCATACGAATAGAAGACTATTTAATATGTTCTATTACTTCATATAATGACATCAAGTAAAATTATTATTCTTTCGTTCTTTATTTTTAAATAAATAACATGCAATTATTTATTTCATCAAAAATTCATTTCAAATATTTAAGGAGAAAAGTCAGTTTTTCTTTGTAAGCACGTTTCTTCATCACGTATAAAATATCGATTTAAGTGCATCTAATATTTTGATTACGTCATACTAATGACTAATATCTATTTTTTTCAATATCATTCATTTAATTTATATTATTCATCAACGAAATAAGCATTGATAAAAACAACGATTTTATTCGTACTCATATTTCTTTTTTTTTCTTTACAGCACTTTTTAATCGATTGAACAAGTTATTTCCGTATTAGACAACACATATTCAGGAAGTTGTTCGTTTCAGAAATTTATAATCTATGGTGGGTGTAAAAATTATTGGACAAATAAAGGAAGTCTTCCGGTCTAATATTATTCATCATGTGTATTCCATTGAGATTGTCTATTTACTCGGTACTACAACGTTTACCGGAGCACTAAATTCATAAAAAAAAGAAAAGAAAAACTAAGCTTATTGCTTTGATTTTTTGTGTTAATAACAACGATGAGCAAGTGTCATTTCTTCTTCTTCTTTTTACGTCAATTACGATCGTAAATCATCATTCAATGTTGTATTATTATATATCAGAAATTTTCTTTT